CATAGATTTTGCAGAATTCTATCATGTGTTCTCCAGCATCATTTCTATTACCAAGGCCATATTTTCCAACTACTAATCCTTCCTCTTTGCTCCCAACCTTTGCATTCCAGTCACCAGTAATGATCAATACATCTTGATTGCATGTTTGATCAATTTCAGATTGAAGAAGTTGATGGAATTCTTCTATTTCATCATCACTGGCTTTAGCGGTTGGTTCATAAATTTGAATAATAGTGGTATTAACTGAACTTCCCTATAGGTATATTGACGTTGTCCTATCAGACAGCATTGTACCTTATGACTGATCTGGCTATGTTCTATTTGACGTTGAATGCAACACCATTCCTTTTCAATTTGTCATTCCCGGCATAATAAACCATATGGTTGTCAGATTTCAAATGGCGAATACCAGTCCATTTTAGCTCACTAATGCTAAGATATCTATGTTTATGCGTTCCATTTCATTTTTGACAACTTCCAATTTTCCGAGATTCATACTTTGTATATTCCATGTTCCAATTTTCAGTGGATGTTTACAGCTGTCTCTCTTCATTTTAAGTTGTGCCCCACCAGCAAATGAAGATCCTGCGGGCTTTTTTCTCACAAGCTTTACTCCATTCGTGTTATCACAGTCAACTCTACTTTGAGAAGGCATCTCTTCACCAGTCGCATTTTGAGTGCCTTCCAACCCGAGCGGCTTATTTTCTGGTACTGTATCTGACAGTGTTTCTCTGCCATTCATAAGGTTTTTAGTGACTAAATATTCAGAAGTAGTTTGTCACTCTTTCTTCCTAGTCTGTCTTTGTCTGAAAGCTCATCTGAAACCTGTCCACCATGGGTGACCTTGCTGGTATTTAAAATACCCATGGCATAGCTTCCAGAATCACAGCAACTCACAAGCCACCACAGTATGACAAACTGACAGACGAGTGGTGGCCGTTTGGTTTTAAGTGGAAACTGTCACTTTAAATTTCGAGTAGATCTGTGCGCATGCCATAGGTAAGTCTCCCCATATAAATTTCGTGTGTTGGAGTATGTGGCTTTTTTGTTATGGAGAAATCAACTCTGATCCTAGACTATCAAGCTCCATTCCATTGGCACGCCCTTTAGCTTCCGTAGCATCATCTACATTTTCTAAATATATAAATGCAAATCCTCTTGAATAGACTGCTGGTCATGTACAATGGACATATCAGCATTTGGGCCATACTTAGAGAACACTTCTAGCTCTTGCTCTGTGGTATATACCCTCAAATCAAATACTCCAAGATAACAGTTGGAATCAGGATTTGTCCAATTCCCAATGTGACGCCTGAGAGTAGACGTCGGAGAATAACTGTGGCTATACCTTCTACGATAATCTCGACTATAAGACCTGCTACGGGATCATCAATGGGTGCGTGACCAAGATGCGATCGAGAACATAACCTTATATAATGTCTTTGAGAACTTCTGGATCTAGACCTAGATTCAGATCTGGACCTGGACTTTGATCTGGAACACCTGGAATCTTCCTTGGAGCGAGACTTTGCAGGGGTATGCCTTGCAGATTTCCTAGATCCATGAGCACTTCCACTTCTGGAAGCAGAAGGGGATTCTTAGGGTAGTGATTTCTTATTCCTGATTACTTCTTATCTTAACTTCATTTTTATTTCTTTTCTTCATTCTTCCGTTTCATATTCTGACTTCTTTCATCTTCCCCACATCACACAAATTGCTTTGTATTCTACAAATGGGACTTCTGGTCTGATAATTAGCATGCATTCTTTCTTTCATTTTTTCAAATTTCAGCTTCACTTATTCCTGAGCTTCAAATACTCATTTATAAAACTTGTCAAATGGCGACTTCTGCATTTTCCTTGTTCGACATTAACCCGCTCCCGGTAGTTCTGCTCGCTGCTGTCGCTCATGACTTCTGGCTCCAGTTGCCGCACGATGCACTTCATTTGAAGCTGTGAACCTCTTGGGCCTTTTTTACAGAGGCTCCGTGGCAGCCTTGCTGAATGCACTGCTTTCAGAGTAGCTGAGACACGAAGCACCCCACACCAGCTCCGCACAGCTTCTAACGCCAAATACCAATTTTTAACAAATATGTATTTCCATAGTTTTTGACAAAGTCTCCTACTACTTCACTTACTCAGTTCTCTGGCAGAACAGGAATCTTACAGGTGAGATAACAGAAGCATTGCTGAAGATCACTAGAGGGTGGCCTGGGTTCAGGACTATACCCCACTGGGACAGTGTGGTTGTTTCAAATACTGTATAACATTGCAGAGGTGTGATCAACAGATGGAAGATGCGTTTTCTTCAGAGGTCATCTCTGGAATGTTATTCCTAGTAAGGAAAGTTAGATTAGTCTCATTGTTCCAGATAATTCTGTAATGAGAATTATTTGAAAGGATATTAGGAAAATGACAAAAATAGATGTCTTAATCACAAAATGAGATGTTTTAAATTATCAAAATGAATTGAATAAGTGATTTTGTATAAAAGTTAGAGAATATTTTAAGATGAGAGGAATTAGAGGGACTATTTAACTTGATCTAATTTTAGAGCCAAGAAACCTGAGACTTAGAAAAGCGAATGACTTGGGGACCCATGTGGTTTAATAAAATATAGCATAGTACTACTAGGAGGTCACATTAGCTGCATGCTTATGAAGGAGAGTCAATTGTTACATTTTAAGGAATTTCTGTGTCCCAGTTGTTAAATGAAAATGGAATTAAAAATTAAATGATATAAATTCAAACACATAGTCTTTTAAAGACAAAGGTATTACTTGTTCGAAATGTATTACGTACTACGTATTTGACTGTATTCTTGATGTTATTTCCGTCTCTTGTAGCTGTAGAGTAGATTTGGTGTGCTACCCAACTCTGTGTTCAGTGGCTTTACATTGGTAGTTTGAAAGAGGCCACAAGGGAGTATTTCCATTACGGAAATTGACAATCACACACGTCAAATCACCCCCCGACCCCTGCCATGCCCTGAGCCAGTTAATAAGTATTTACCAGCGTTTTGTTTCTATGAGGCCTTTGCTACACGACAGTGAGTTCAGTGAGAGCTGGATCTTTTATCCCTAACACCCTCACAATGCTTGGCAGACAAGTATTTGTGGAATGAATGAATGGACTTTTACAGCCCCTCAGTCCTTAATTCAAGTTCTAGCTCTGTTACTTACCTTGCTGCGTGACTTTGCTTACTTTAATTTCATTTATTAGTAAAACTGGGATCATTGTGGCTCTGTAGGAGGAGCGCTGGACTGTGAACTACAAGGTTAGCAGTTTGAGCCCACCAGGTCTGTGGGAGAAAGATGAGGCTCTCTGCTCCTGCAAAGATTTATAGCATTGGAAACCCTATGCAGGGTCACTATGAATTGGAACTGATTCGACAGCACTTAACAACATCTGGTACATAGTAGGTACAAAAATTATTAGCTTAGAAATAGACACAAATATCATTAGGGGCCAATAACTTTGAACTTATTTGGAATGATTTGTATGCATTGTTTTCTATTAAGTAAGTGTTTGACCTTGAACTGGATGCAAATCAAGAATGTAGTGCTGATTTGTGTGTGTGTGTGTGTGTGTGTGTGTGTGTGTATACTTCTCCTTCATCCCCCATAAGATAATGGGATATATTAAAAGGAATACGATCTACAAGAGGCAAGAAGCAATCCCTTTGTTGTATTTGGCTTTGCTCAGACTCTTATTACAGTATCGTGTACAACTTTGCATTGCTCATTTTAAAGATGATGTGAAAAAACTGGATGGAATATGTCCTGGGAAGAGGCAACACTAGTGATTAAAGGGGTAGAAAATAGGTCCTTTGAGGGAAGTTTAAGGAATTGAGTTTGTTTACTCTGGAAAGGAGACAATAAAGGAGTTACTGAACTATCTTCAAGTCCATGAAGCAGAATTCTAAGGAGGCTACTTTCAAGTTGTTCTCCAAATGCACAAAGGCCCCAGAGAGGAAATTGACTTACACCATTTAAAGAAAATTGTGTTAAACACTGAAATGGATTATCCAGAGATGCTATGGAATTGTCATTTTCAAAAATATTTAAGAAGATCAGCAACAGATGGGTATTTATTGGAAAGCTTAAATGTGTCACCTGACGAAGGCAGAAGCAGGAGTCTAGACCTTATCGTCTTCTCTTCTGGGATAGTCTCCTATTGATTGTAGTTTATCAAACACATACCAGCTCTTACATTAAGTTGGGAAATCACAATTTTGATGAAATTGTACCTTAGCTTGCATTGCATCTTAATTGCTGGATTTATCTTGAATGAAATAAATCAGTGCTAGTAATTGACTTAGATTTGAAGTTAATTCGTGTATAAACATTCCACATTTGTATCTTTATACTGTTTGATATCATAGCCAGAAGCATTATTCAAACCTAATCAGTATTAACATAATTTTTCAAGTAGCACATTTCAAATATTCTCTCTTTTGCGACAGGGAATCCTCTTGGTGTATGATATTACAAATTACCAAAGTTTTGAAAATTTGGAAGATTGGTATTCGGTGGTGAAGAAAGTGAGCGAGGAGTCAGAAACACAGCCACTGGTTGCCTTGGTGGGCAATAAAAGTAAGTTATTAATGCTTAGTTATGTATAGTAAAGTTTATTTGTCTAGCCTGTCACTTTTATTCCTGAAAAAAAGATGTGATTCTTGGAAGGATAAATATTTACAGCTTCCCTTGAGTGAGCAAATGGCTGGAATAGAAAATTCGTAGGGGTGTATACGGTCTTTTCAATAACTGTTTTGGTGTTTGTCTGTCCTAACTGCTCTGTTGCTTCGGCCAGTTCCTGTTAAGGTAAGTTCACTTCTGACTGTGTTTTGGTTTCTCCTGATGTAAGGAATCTGCGTGGATCATTTAAGAACAGTAACGCAGCTGCAAATTTTATGATATTGCACTGCAGCTTCAGCTCTGCCCCAGAGGTTTCTAGAGATACAATTGTATTTATGCTCCTGTGTTCTAGGGAAGGAAGCTGTTTCAGCTTGGAATTTTGGATGCATTGTTCCTTGCTCACATCTCTTATAAGCTGTCTTTTCTGATTTTTGGCATTTGTCCTGAAACATAGTTGCTTTTGTTTTTAAATTTATTTTTGAGAAAGTGTCTACAAGAAGGCTTTAAAAAGGTTGTGTACAACTGAAATAAAAGATAATGGAATCTTTTTCTATAAACTTTTCAAAATTCTTGGTAAAAGTGATGGGTACAAAATTTGTGAGGCCTGTCTTTTGGGCTATGAAATCTTGCATATAAAAATCATAAGACTCAGTTCAGCATAGGGCTTAATAAAGATTTTCAAATTTATGAAATAGTGTGATATAATCTATTCTTCTCCTTGTTAGAGATCAGGAAAAGAGAAAATGAATTCAAATTGTACCAGGGAGGATTTAGGTCAGACATTGTTTCCTGACTACAAGGATTGTTAAATCAATACCCAAGCATACTGTCTAGAGAATTCTCTTTGCCAAAGGTCTTTAAAAGTATGATACTTTTTTTCCTCTCCGTAATTGTTTAGGAAATAGTCCTTCCTGAAGGACTATACCAAGAAATTTCTGCATTATGTGATTTTGCACACTTAGATGCACATTTAATAAATCCAAGCCTTACTCCAAAAATCCGTACAAAACAGGTGTGGATATCATTTCCCAGAAGAGTTGCAAATACAGATATTATCATACTTTCTAGAAAACTGTGTTACATCTCACAAAATGGTAAAACTTGGGTAGAAGGCATAGTATTTTTCTTCTTCTTTTAGTTGTTAATTTTGTTGACCTATTTTGAAAATAATGCTTTTTAACTGAGCGAATTCAGTGTTTTTGAGTGTATTAAAATTCCTGTAGCAATCCTAGCTTGTGATGAGCCCAGGCTTTAGTTCTGAGTATCACTTTTCATTTAGGAGACCCTCTCTGCCTCAGTTCTGTGTTACCTAAGAAAGCAGTGACTTGTATTACAGTTCAATTTGTGCTGCAAATTATAGAGGAGAGGAGAGCTGGGGGCTGGGGGCTGGGATGTGTTTTCCTTTCTTCCCGGATCTAATCTAACCACCATCTGGGGTAATAGTGTAGTGGCTCATAATTAGATACATTATGTTATGTGTTTATGTTATCCTGTGAGGCATCCAACATTGGTCACTGTCAAACACAGGATATCAGACTGGATGGGCTATTGGACTGCTCTGGTGGTGCCATTCCCAGGTCTTAAAAGCAAATATTTATATAAGTTATATGAATTTATGCAAAAAAAATTAATGCAGTGTTATGTTTGAGAATTTAATAGCATAAAAGTCAAAAGTGTTTTCACTGTGGGCTTAGCTGTAACCCCTTTCTTGTATGTATTTATAATACTCTCTTTCAGAACAGGATCGTGTAACAGAGCATGCAGTCACACAGAATGTTGTAGATGTAAAATGAAGAGATTATAGATGGACGTTTCCCTGGATATTATTTACCACATAATCGGTCCCTGGCCCAATTTCATATGATCATGTAATGAAAGATCCTTCCGTAGTTAAGGCTATTAGGGCTTTACCTCTAAGTCTCCTGAATATTTTATATTTTGTATTTCCAAATTGATGGTGCGTTAGTATAGTATAGTATTAGATACTCTCCATTTTGAGGATATTATTATATTAAAAAGCAATGGAATGAACAAAGACTCTACACATTTGTTAAAGGCAAAGCAGGGCAAACCTGATGGAAAAGCATATGAAACTAGATTATTTTCTTCATTGTCTAAACATAGTCACATTCTGTCTCAGTACGCTTTTTGTCAACCTTGATTCTTGGCAACTTGGAATAGAAAGCATATGTTGAACAGAAGTGCATGTAGGCTGTGAATATGTTGGTAACCTTAGTCAACTTAGCTGAACCTGAGTCAAAGCTTAGTTGAAGGAGAGGGTGAAAGAGAACTTACATTTCTATACAAATTGTGAGTATGTGTGTGAATTTGTTCCACACTTAGCTCTTAATTAGTAAGTTATAAGATCATTAGCTTTTTAATAACATATGGTATAGTCTCACAAATTTGAGCTGAGCAGAGAGGCTAGTCTGATGTTAGAAAAAATTAGGGATTTGTATTTGTATAAAAGACACCTGGTGTGGTGCTGCAGGATAATGCGCTGGATCAAAAAGTCAGTTTGAACTGTAAGGTCAGTGGTTCAGACCAACCAGCTGATTCTTGGAAACCCCTATACAGGATTGCTGTGGTTCAGAATCAACTCCACTGCACTTAACAATAACAACATTTCTAAAAAATAGTTTTCTTATGTCAATATAAATTGTAACTAAATCAAGTTAACGAAGTGGCCAGCAGAGGAAGAGCTTTGCTTCAATGTAACAGACAGAATGATTGGTAGAAGTAAATGATTTCAGTATGTTGCTAATTGCCGACTCATAGTGACCATGCTTGTATAGTGTTTCCAAGCACCGGCTGGTAGGTTTGAATTGCCATCCTTGTGGCTAGCAGTCTAGTGTTCTGTAGCACCATACTAGGACTCTTATTTCAGTATATAATATTTAAAAGTACATAATACTGAAAACAAATTATTATATTCTATTTTGAAAGACTGGAAGGCACTAGTTAGTATTTTTGTTTAGATCTTTAAATGAGATGGTGAGTAGTGGTTACCATCATGGGTTGTTGGATTACACACATTTTTTGCTTCTTCACTTAATCACAGCAGGATGCCAGACAAGTTACTCTGCATCTCTAAGCCTCAATTTCCTCAAGTGGAAATGAGGATAATAATTTCTTTCTAATCATGTTGAAAAGGACTTTACATGTTGTCTTAAGCAGAGGAAGTATTCAATAACTATTATTATTAATCATCCTAGCTTTCAAAAAGTATTGTCTATTGCTTAAATTAGGAGCTCTGGTAGTGTAGTGGTTACGAATCGGGCTGCCAACCTCAAGGTCAGCAGTTTGAAACTACCAGCTGTTCCGCGGGAGAAAGATGAGGCTTTCTGCTCCTGTAAAGATTTACAGCCTCAGAAACCCTGTACAGGGTTCCTATGAGTCGGAACCAACTCCACGGCACAGAACCACCACCACCATAGCTTAAATTTGAATGAACATGCATTACAAATTGCCCAAAACCAAAAAAAAAAACAAGTTGTTGTCAAGTCTCTTCCAACTCCTACTGACCTATATATAGAGTTTTCGGTTACCAAAACCAAAACCACGCTCACTCCTGTTTAGTTGATTCTGACTGACTCCTACCAACCTTATCAGATGGAGTAGAACTAGTCGTTAGGGCTACCGAGATTGTAAATCTTTATAGAAGCGGACAGCTTCAACTTTCTCCCATGGAGCAGCTGGTGGATTTGAACTACTGACCTTTCAGTTAGCAGTCCAATGCTTAACTCACGGTGCCACACAGGCTTCTTTGTATGTTAGTGGGTCTGAGATAGAGATTTCACAAAAGTGTCCTGGAGGAAATAGCTCTTGGAAAATTCCATATTTTCTTCCAGATTGATAATGAGTTGCTATTGCTGGTGTTAAGTGTCGTCGGGTCGGTTCTGATCCATAGTGACCCTGTATAGGGTTTCCAAGGAGAAGCTGGCTGAAAGCACCTTCGCAGTCCAGCATTAACCCACAGCAGCATGGCAGGACTGCATCATGAGTTAGACATGGTCGTTTATCCAAGAAATGTGTTTTCAGTACCAGCTGTAAGTGTTCACCCAAGGTGCCATCTAGTTGGTTCCCACTCATAGCAACCCTGTGTACAACAAAACAAAGCACTCTGCCCTAGGCCGTCCTCACAGTTGTTGTTATGAAAGTTGCACAGAAGTCTGTCTGCCTGTTTGAGGGTCTTCCTCTTTCTCTTTCCCAAGCATGATGGCCTTCTCCGGGGACTGGTCCGTTCTGATAACATGTCTAAAGCATGATGGCCTTCTCCGGGGACTGGTCC